GGAAAGGAGAGGAAGGCCCCGTGGGAGGGCAGCGTCAGAGGTGCCCCTAGGAGCCCCCCACAGTGCCCCCCACCCTCCCGTAGAACGTGGGTGCTGACTAAGGGAGTGTAAAGCAGACCTGACAGACCGCACCTTCAAGCCTCCGTGCTCACAGGACCTCTGGAACATCCAGGCTGCACCGCAGCCCTCCAATCTTCTCGAGGCGATGGCGTTCGCATTTCCTCAGGAGACACCCTCCCTAAGTTTATTAGGAAAGTCAGGTCATATATAATGCGTCTGTCTTCTTCTAACTCATATTTTAAAAATTATCTTGGAGCATTCCAGTGACCTGCTCCTGGGCCAGGTGTTACCCATCCTCGTGTTGTATTTTCGCGTTCACAGATTTCGTGCTCTTATCAAATATCTGTTCTGCCGTATGAGTTTAGGATCAGTTCGTCTAATTCCACAAAGATGAAGCTGTTTGCATCTTAATGAAGTTACATGTTGCTGGTCCAGAGTAGCAACACGGATCTCTTTATGAAGGCCCAAGCAAGAGTCAGGCGCAGCTTGAACCAGGTCCTCACTCTCCTACAGCCGGCTCACAGGCACCCCCTCTTCGGTGCCTTGGTAGAGGCCCCGCCCTCCAGACAGGTCCCACCCCTCGCCTTCCGCAGGCCACGCCCTCCAGGGTAAGCCCAAGCGATTCCACCCACAGGCCCCGCCCTTTCGAAGGCCACGCCCCCAGCGAAGACCACGCCCCTCTTCTGTGGGCCTGACTTCTGTTCCAGGCCTGAAGGCACCTAGGGCTTCGCACCCACTGTGACAGGCCCCGCCCTCCTCTTGTGCGGACTCTGCCCTCCACCAGCGTGAACTGCAGTCCCTCCTCCCGCAAACCCACTCCTTCTCTTACGGGCTCGCCTCTCTTCCCCAGGCCCTGCCCCTCCTCAGTCCCGTATCTTCAACGCAGGCTCAGGCCCCGCCCCTCGCCGCTAGGCCCCGCCCCTCCCCACAGACCCATACCGGCTAGACACACGTTCAGACCCCGCCCCCTCTCCGCAGGCCCCCGCCTCTCCCTCGGGCCCCGCCCCTCGTCGCTAGGCCCCGTCCCTCTCCACAAACCCATACCTGCTAGACACACGTTCAGGCCCCGCCCCCTCCCCGCAGGCTCCGCCTATCCCTCAGGCCCCGCCCCTCCTCAGACCCTCCTGAAACCACACGCAGGCTCCACCCCTCCTCCCAAAGGCTCCGCCCCTTCTGCAGACCCGGCCTCTCTTCCCTCAGGCCCATCTCTCTCTGCGGTTCCCTGCAGGCAGGCACCCCCAGGGGAGTTCAGCAGCCCCGATGTCCCTCCAGGCCCGCTGTCCTGAGCGCTGCCTAGCTGCTCTGGTGCCCGCAGAACTCCGACCCAGGCCCCGGCGTCCCCATCGTGCTCGTCCCCCACACCTTCCCCTCCTCCTCTGCACCCTAACAGCTAGCCCTGCTGCAGCACCCTGACGCCCCTGAGCCTGTGAACCTGTGAACCTCATCATCAAACCTAAAGCCTGACTCTCGCCCTCACCCTCACCTCTACCCTCTATGCCAACCTCTTAGCCCTGAGCTCACCCTGTCCCCAAAGCCAGGCTGCAGGCACAGCAGCAGCAGGCGAGCCTGGAAGCCGCCCTCGAGTCCGCGCCCCTTTTCCTGACGGACACTCGCGGGGCCCTAGGCAGCCAATCCAGGTGGAGTGGGGCGGGACCTTCTGCAGGGCGGGAAACACAGGCCCCGCCCCCAGCAAGAGCCCAGGTCGGGTTGCACCGGTGCCTGACAGGCCTTGTTACGCCCTCTGCCACGCCCCCACCGGAGTCCTGAGCGCTCATTGGTGCTGTCCTGTTGGTCTGTGTGCTGATTGGCTGCGCCTAGCCCCTCCAGTGCGGCAACTTCTGAAGGGCTGGGTGGTCGCCGCCAGTCAGTCAAGGAGAGCACAGAGGCCGGACCCTGACAGGACCGGCTCTGCGGTGCGTGAGAAGCCTCCGAGCCCTCGGCGGGCCTTCGTGTCTCAGCCCGACACCCCCGTCCCCTACCCCGCCAAGCTTCAATTCCCTCAGCCCCGAGAGACCCCGAGCCCCGCCGGCCTGAGGGACTCCAACTCCGCTCCCGGCAGGGCACCCCAAGGCCCCGGGGTCCGGGCTCCACCCAAGGACAGCGAATGTCCCTCCTCGGCCCCAACGCTGGAGCTCGCACCCCTCCCGGGCCCCCAATTGTCACTAGAGACCGGGGGTCCCCATGGGTGACAGGGACCCCAGAAACCCGGAGCCCAAGGAGCCTCACGCGCTCGTCTGGGACCCCACTTCCCTCTGCCTGAGGCTCCCCAAAAGCCCGCCTAGGAGGAGCCCCAAACCCTCTCCTGGGCCCCGTGGGATGCGGGGGAGGGTCCTTCAGCTGGAGTCCCCAGTGTCCGCCCTCAGAGACACCCCAGTCAGCTCGGGACCCCATCCCATCAGCGCGGGGTTCCAGTCACCCCCACCCCTTCCTGCGGCACCCCCTCAGCCTGGGCGCCCCTCCCCTGACCCGAAAACCGCCTCCCCCGTCTGCGGGTACCCCCAGGCCCCACATGGCACCCCGACTCAGGGACTCAGGGATCCGGGGAGACCCCAGCTCCTGAAGCGGGAGCACCCCGAGTGGTCCCTCAGCTCAGTCAGGCTCAGAGCTGGTGAGGGCTGAGGAGCAGCCAGGGTTGCTCAGGAATGGGGACTGGGTGGGGGCGAGGATTGGAGCTGGGGTTTGGGGGGGTGACGGTTAGGATTGGGGTTTGGTAGGCACAAGGGCGTGGGCTAGGGTGAGGATTAGGCTTGGCGTCAGTTTTGGGGTGAGTGTCGATGTTTGGGTTGTGGTTAGGGTGGGGATTTGGATTGGGGCAAGGGTCAGGTTTGAGTTTGGGGTTGAGGTTAGAGTTGGGGTGAGGGCCAGGGCTGGGGTTGTTTGGGGTTAGTGGTTGGGGATTGGCTTGGTCTGAGTGTTAGGTTTGCCATGAGGCTTAGCGTTGGGTCAAGGGTTAGGGTTGGCCTTGGTGGGAAGTTTTGGTTTCTGGGTCTGGTGAAGGGTTGGGTTAGGGTTAGATCAGGTTAGGACTGGTTTGGGATGACGTTTGGGGTGCCCATGGGTGCCCAGGCCCATGACACCCCTTGGGTTGTGTTCACGCTGAAGGTTTGGGCTAGGGTTTGGATTCAGCGGAAAGTTGTGGGTAGGTTAAGGTTCGGTGAGGGTTTGGTTATGGTTAGAGTTAGATCTCTAACTCTAGAGATCTGGGGTGACGCTTGGGGCTGGGATTAGGGCAAAGGGTTAGGTTGGGGTACGTTAGGGTTGGGGTGAGTCTTGGAGTAGGTTAGGGTTGAGGTGAGAGAAGGGTTAGGTTTGGGCTGAGGGCTAGGGTTAAGGTGAGGCCAGGTTAGGTTTGCTTGGGCCTGGGACAAGGGTACTGTTAGGGGTTTTGGGGGACAGCTCCTCACCTGGTTGCCCCTCCCTGTTGCCTGTGTGAAGCATGGAGCCCCGACCCTCCCCTTCCTGGCAGACTGGAGTCCAAGCCTTGCACTCACCACCCGGGTCCCCTGCTCCTGGGCCTGGCCTGGAGAGCAGCCCCCAGCTCCTCCTTTCGCAGGTTCCCGCCCTTCCCTCGTGCTATCCAGGCCCATGAGTGCCCCCAGTTCCTCGGAGGACAGTTCCGAGGAAGACGCAGCGGAAGCCGGGCAGAAGCCCGAGGTAGATGAGCCATTGGGAAGGCAAGGTCGGGCCCGCAGGCCTGCACAGGGAGGTGGGGACCAGACCCTGGGCTGGGGCGCTGCATCCAGGGCCAGAGGGAGGAAGGGTTAGGGTTACAATGCTGACAGGGGACAGCCAGGGCCATCCGTGCCCACCCAGAGTCACAGGCACGGGAAGGCAGGGCGGTCTGCTTCACAGAGATGCCACAGCCAGCTGGGCCCTGCAGGTGCCTGGCAGGAGGGGGAAATTCTGTCTTGTGACCTGTGCTGGGAATCACACAGAGTCTCTTTCCTCCAGATCAAAGACACTTTCAAGGACATTTCCAGGTACTTCTCCAGGGCAGAATGGGCGAAGATGGGAGAGTTCGAGAAAAAACGCTACCGGAACGTGAAAAACAACTACAATATGATGCTTTCCATAGGTGACAAGGGATTTTGGGTCAGACAGGCCTAGGAGGCGGGGGTAGGCCCCGCTCCGTCCCTGTGTCTGCAGCTCTGTCTTAGGCCCAGCACACTGTCCCCTTCCCGGAGGGGTCACAGAGGGAAGCTTTATTGTGCGGCTCAGGGCCGAGCCGAGTGCTTGGCCAGCCATGTGGAGATGCCATCTCGGCCCCCGGCCTTCGTGTCTGTCCACCGCCACTGCCTCTGTCCCGCCTCCTCTTCCCCTTTCATCAGGGCATTCGCCCCTCCCCAGGTCTCCGAGCCCACCGACCGGATTTCATGTGTCGTGGGCGGCGAACCGGCAGGCCCCGGGTGGATGACCCTGAGGATTCCGATGAGGAGTGGACCCCTAGGCAGCAAGGTGAGGGCCAGGGCGACTCACAGGTCACCTCCCAAGTCAGGTCCGAATTGGGTTTCAGGGCAAACAAGCACCGTGCAAAGCAGTATGTCCACTAGGGGGCGATTTCTATGCAGCTTTTAAAGGACAGAAAACCTCTATATGTGTGGTGTGCATTTGTATGTAACTTAGATACACAAGTAAGGGAAGGCATGAAACCGGATTGTGAGTAAGAAATATCAAGTCCCAAACAGTTACCGTCACCAGAGGAAGACGCGGCTTTTATGTAGCTTAGTTTTTGTTTTATTTTGTGCCCATTTTTGTTTCGGGATCTTGAAATAGAAAGATTGGAAAGAGTTGTGGTGGACTTCTGAGATCAGACTGGAGTAGGGGGGGGTGTGCAGAGTGTCCGATATCATCTCCGTACTATGTCTGTCATATATATATATATATATATATATATATATATATTTTTTTTTTGTACCAGGGATTGAACTCAGAACCTCACTTTGCTAAAGCAGGCACTTACGCCGCTGAGCTAAATCCCCAGCCTTTATTTATCATTTTTAAAAGAACATTTTTTTAGGGACTGGGGATTTAGTTCAGCGGCATAAGCGCCGCCTGCCTTACAAGTGTGTGGTCGTGAGTTCAATCCCTGGTACCGATTAAAAAAAAAAAAAGAACATTTTTTCCTAAACATTGTTAATCAAAAGGCAAAGAAAGCTTAATTAAGTGACAAGTCCCTTCCCCAATCTCTCCCTAACACTAATACTGTAATAGTTTGGTCATTGGATTCAGTGTTTCAGAAAAGCAAGTAGCCAGGGGTTTAGCTCAGCGGCATAAGCGCCTGCCTGACAAGGACAAGGTCATGAGTTCAGTCATGAGTTCGATCCCCAGTACCATGCATGTGAAGTATTTGTCTTTTTCTAGCTGGATTAGATGCCTAGGGTTCACTCGTGTCGCAGTGTGTAACAGGGTTTCCTTCCTATTTAAAGGGAAATAGTAGCCTATCACATGTACACGACACATGTTCTTTATTATTTATTATCTGGAGGGTACTCAGGTGCATTCTATGTCCATGATCTCTCTACAAAGGTGATTTCCTTCTATTCATAGAGTCATTGTCGTTAATGTACAACTGAGTCAAATTTTTGCAGATAAACATAGCCACTATCTTATGAACACAGGTGGAGAAGCCTGGGGTTGCGTCTGATTTTTTTTTTTTTTTTTTTGTCTTTTTCCTTTTTATCAGTGCCGGGGATGGAACTCATGACTGCCTGCTTGCAAGGCAGGCGCTTATGCCGCTGAGCTAAATCCCCAGTCCCTGTGCCTGATTTTTAAAGGCCTGGTATTCCCAGGAAAAAGCCATAGGGATTTTTAGAAACCACATATCACGTGTGGATCATGCTGGGGATCTTCACCATGTGGGTCAGGATTCTCTGTCACGATAAGAATCCCTAGAGTTTACAGATCTTTACCAACCAATGCCCTGATTTCTTGTCACCTTTAGTCAAACCTCCTTGGGCAGCCTTGCGAGTGGAGCAGAGTAAACCCCGGCAGGTGAGTGTCTCCCGAATCCTACTGAACCCTTCTGTGGGGGATAAAGTACAGGGCAATCCGGGGACGGCCGCCTCCTTTGATGATTTGTTCAGTACAGTGTTGTCATCAGTTTTAGGCCTGTTTGTCTGCTTGCTCTGAGACAGGGTCTCACTATGTAGTCCAGGCTGGCCTTGAACACACTGTGTAGCTGAGGCCAGCCTCAAACTCACAGAACTCACAGTGATCCTCCTGCCTCAGCCTCCTGAGTGCTGGAATTACAGGCATGGGCCACTATGCCCAGCTTTTTTCTCTTTCTTTCTTTCTTTCTTTCTTTCTTTCTTTCTTTCTTTCTTTCTTTCTTTCTCTCTCTCTCTCTCTCTCTCTCTCTCTCTCTCTCTCTCTCTCTCTCTCTCTCTCTCTCTTTTATTTTGATTCAGGGTCTTCCTATGTAATTCAGGCCAGCCTCGAACTCACTATGTATCTCAGACTGGCCTCAACCTCATGGCAATTGAATAAGAACAGAACAAACAGTCGCTATCACTCATTTTGTTTTTGTGATGTTTCAGATGTTGCTTTAAATGAAAAGCCCACTTACACCCGCACTGTGACACAGGAAATACACTATAACCATGTCATAGAGGAGGAACCGAGGTACAGAAGTGTCCTGCTGCCCACTGGGCCGCGTGTACCAGCTCATTAAATGCCCAGCGTGTCGTGAATTGGTTCTGTCCGCTCATTCACCTGATTATTCCAGCCTCCGCTGTCCGCTGTGCTGCAGTGAGAGACTCACTAAGCGGGCGCGCGGATGCACGGGCGTTGACTGAACTGGCTGCGGGAGATGGACCCTGCCCAGCCCTCAGAGGGACCCTTTCTGTAGGAGGAGGCAGTGGAAGAGGCAGATCGGATGCCTGAGCGATGACAGGGGGTGACGGGACCGCAGACAGGTCACACACTGTTCCCGAGAAAGGTGTCTGTCTTTCTAGGACAGATGGCAGGCGCTCGCTGTGCTGTGGGAGAAAGGCGCAGTTCATAACTCTGGCAACTCTTAGGTTGTCCGCAGTCCTCGGATCAGCCGCCAGCTGGACTTGTGATCTCCTGGGGACACAGGTCCATCCCTGACGCTTCGCCCAGTGTCCTACAAGGCCCTCAGGGTGTTCAAAATGACTGCTCAGTCCTCCATGCACGAATGAACAGGGCCAGGGAGGGCTTAAGATAAAGTCTCTGAGTTAGATTGCTAGTGTGGGTGGGGAGGAGACACGGAAGCCAGGGCTCAGAGGAACGGCTGATCTCACATCGTGTGATACCCAGTAGCTTAGGAAACACTGGGTGAGCGGTCTTACCTTTCACGTTCACGGTCACATTAAGAACTACCTTGTGGCCAGGGGTCTACCTTAGTGGCATAAGTGCCTGCCCTGGCAAGCGCAAGGCTGTGAGTTTGATCCCGAGTACCAAAAAAAAAAAATTACCTTGTACAGCTGGGGTGTGGTGGCCCACGCCTGTCGCCCCAGCACTCGGGAGGCTGGGGCAGGAGGATCGCTGTGAGTTGCCTGGGCTACCAAGTGAGCCCAAGGCCAGCCTGGACTGCACAGAGAGACCCTGTCTCAAAAAGACAAAATAGGTAAAAAAAGAAAAAGAACTACCTCGTACGCCCCCTCAGGGGTCAGGAAGTTAAGGAGGTTAGCGAACCTCGAGCCGGACTGGTACAGGAACCCGTGAATCTACTCCAGGAGCAGGTGGCTGAAGGACACTGCGCTCCCAACTTCTAGTGTCCGTGGCCTCTTCCCGGCCTCCCTGGGTCCTCCTCAGGTCCAGGGCTGTCTGTTCCCCCTCTGCTTTTCAGCATCCCCCCATCCAAAGCAACCGCAGGTTCCTGTCAGGTTAACCCCTTCGCTCCCAGTCCTGTTGGCGCCCTCGCTGGTCTTGGGAGTGTCTCCCCGGTGTGGATGTGAGGGGAAGCTGGAGGGCAAGAGCCCCAGCGTGTGGGTCCCCAAAGCATTCAGACACCTCAGGAGGTGGCAGGGCTGGGGAGGAAGAGCCCCCGGGGGGAGTCAGGCTGCACGCCCTGAAGAAACAGAGACCTGGGCATGGCTCATACACACACACAGACACAGACACACAGACACACAGATACACACACACAGATACACACACACAGACACACAGAGACACACACACAGATACACACACACAGACAGACACAGAGACACACACACAGACACACAGACACACACAGACAGACACACACACGCACAGACACACAACACAGACACACACACACAGACACACACACAGACACACACACACAGACACACAGACACAGACACAGACACACACACAGAGACACACACAGACACACAAACACAGACACACACACAGACACACAGAGAAAGACACAGACACACACACAGATACACACGGACACACACAGACACATACACACACAGACACACACACAGAGAAAGACACACACATAGACACACAGATACACACACACAGATACACAGAGAAAGACACACACGCAGACACACACAGACACACAAACAGACACACACACAGACACACACACAAAGATACGCACACAGAGACACATACATACACACGGACACACACAGACACATACACACACAGACACACAGACACACACAGAGAAAGACACACACACAGACAGATACACACACACAGATACACAGAGAAAGACACACACACAGACACAAACAGACACACACACAGAGACACAGACACATACAGACACAGACACAGACAGACACACACACACAGAGACACACAGACAGAGACATAGACACACACAGAGACACATACACAGACACAGACACAGACACGTACAGACACAGACAGACACACACACAGAGACATAGACACACACAGAGACACATACACACACAGACACACACACAGACACAGACACGTACAGACACAGACAGACACACACACAGAGACACAGACACACACATAGACACACACAGACACACACACAGAGACTCACAGACACAGACACACACAGACACATACACAGAGACACATACAGACACATACAGACACACACACACAGACACACACAGACACATAGACACACACAGACACACAGACAGAGACACAGACACACACAGACACAGACACACACAGATACACATACACATACAGACAGAGACACATACACACACAGACACAGACAGACACAGACAGACACACACACAGAGACACAGACACACACATAGACACACACAGACACACACACAGAGACTCACAGACACAGACACACACAGACACATACACAAAGACACAGAAAGACAGACACACACACAGACATACACACACCGACACCCACAGACAGACAAACACACACAGACACACACACAGAGACACATACAGACACATACACACAGACACACACACAGACACAGACACACACAGACACACACACTCGCTCTCCTTAAAGGGGAAGCCCAGGGCGCTGTTGAGTGATGAACCCAGCCTGAAGGAATTGCCTGCAACAGCAAACGTACAAGACAGCGGTGGCTCAGAGAAGGCCCAGACGCCGGTGTCCTCTCCCCGAGAAGCAAAAAAGCTGGGTAAGAGGAAGGGCTCCTGTGCTTTGGTCCGTCTAGGCCCTGTACGGAGGCCATGAGCATGGCTGGAGCTGGAGGTGGGCTTTGGGTGGGCCGGACGCAGACGGCAGAGCTAAGGGACTGCCCGCTGCGCTTAGGAACTGGACGACCAAGGCTCAAGGCCAGGCATGATGTAACTCAATGGCACAAGTGCTGGTCTGGCAAGCACAAGGTCGTGAGTTCGATTCCTGGCACGACCATAACGAGCCTCTGGGGACTGGGGACGTCATGACCCTGTGAGCTTCTGGGTGCCCATCAGTGGACAGGAATAAGGGTCCATCTCTCACCTATCCCTGGGAAGCTTTAAGCAAAATATTAAATGACTTGTGCATGCAAGGTGTCCCACAGGCCCACCTGTGGCCGTAGCTGCTCCCCGCCCCCGTGTCCGGTCCCTGCCCTGCTGGCTGCACTGGCCCTGGACAGCTAGAAACCTGGCCCACAGGTTAAGCAGGGATGTGGGAGAACCTGATGGCCGGAAAGCCCACATTTTCTCGAGAAGCAGGGACCCACCATCACCGTGGCTAACAGCAGTTCTGTTATTAGACCCCAGGAGAAAGGTGGTGGAGCCCAAGATGTACAGCCTGCGGGAAAGGCAGTGTTGCACTTACGAGGAGGTCAGCGAGCCCCAGGACGACGACTACCTGTGTGAGTGACCCCTGGCCTGCTCCTTCTGCATGCGGTCACCTGTGGTCACCTCGTCCCCTCGCCCTAGCCGTGAGATGTCCAAAGCTCCTCAGGGCCGGCGCCGCTCCTGATCCCCGCCGCTTTCCCGTCAGATTGCGAGAGGTGCAAGAACTACTTCCTGGACAGCTGCCCTGCCCACGGGCCCCCCGAGTTTGTAAAGGACAACGCGGTGACCAAGGGGACCTCCAACCGCGCGGTCCTCAGCCTGCCCACTGGGCTGAGAATAGGACCCTCGAGCATCCGGGGGGCCGGGCTCGGGGTGTGGACCGAGACCTCCTCGCTGCCGCTGGACCTGCACTTCGGCCCCTACGAGGGCGAGGTCACGGAGGAGGAAGAGGCCGGCCACAGCGGGTACTCCTGGATGGTGAGCTGCTCCCCACCCCGCCTTCTGGCGCCCCGGCCCCTCCTGTGCTCGGTGCCACATGGACACGGCCACAGGGTCAGCTCCGTGTGTGTCGTGGTCATGGCAGGCCACGGGCAGGCTGATGGGCGGCAGCACAGTCACGGGAGGCTGCGGGGTGTCATCCTCCCGCGGGAGACCTTGACGTCCTGCTGCCACATCGCAGATCACCAAGGGGCGGCACTGCTACGAATACGTGGATGGCAAGGACACGTCCCAGGCCAACTGGATGAGGTGAGGACGCAGGGTCCAGGTTCTGCGTGGGACATTGTCCTCCGCCTGCCTCTCTCGTTGGTTTACTTTTTTCTTCTGTTTTTTCCTCTGCTTTTTTTCTCTTTTTCTTTTGTCTCTTTTTTCTCACTTCTCTGCTCTCCTACCTCATGAACATTCAAATTAAAAAAGCAAATTAATACATAGATAGCATGATTTATCTTTTATCACACTATTCCCATCCAGGCTAGACAAAATTCAGGCTCTGGATAAATCCTGAGAAGTCAGTTTCATGGGTGACACGGGGTTCACGCTTTACTCAATGTTTTTTTTGTCTATTTGAGGCAGGGTCTCGCTGTGCAGTCCAGGCTGGCCTTGAGCTCACTTTGCAGCCCAGCCTGGTCTTGAACTCGCAGTGATCCTCCTGCCTCAGCCTCCCGAGTGCTGGGATGACGGGCGTCCAGAACCCCACCTGGCTCCACGTTAATTATTAAGGCTTCGCTATGCTCCAGTTTAGAACACGGACTTCCTCATTTCGAAAGGGAGGGTGCCAGGGTAGCACACGGCAGGGACCATTCCAGAAGCCGGGTGCATGCCTGGCACCTAGTTCCACTGGGACCCACACTGACTTGAGGTTTAGAAATGCAGGAGGTCCCTGGGTTCTGCGTCCCGTCCAGCAGGAGGGAAGCCCGGGATGGGCGGGGAACGTGGGTGCTTAGGCGGGGCGGGCGCAGGACCTGGTGGAGGAGCCTGAGGCTGGCACAGGAGGTGGCCCCGGTGTGCAGGAACACAGGCGTCCACACTGAGCTAACAGCCGGGCCAGACGGGACGGAGCATGACAGCAACCGGCTTCCTTCCCGGCGTGGCCCCAGGTACGTGAACTGCGCCCGAGACGAGGAGGAGCAGAACCTCGTGGCCTTCCAGTACCGCAGGCAGATCTTCTACCGCACCTGCCGCGCCGTGGGCCCCGGCCGCGAGCTGTTGGTGTGGTACGGCGACGAGTACGGGGAGGAGCTGGGCCTCAAGTGGGGCAGCAGGTGGAAGGGCCAGCGCCTGGCCGGCAGAGGTACGCACCCCTGGGCTCCCGAGAGAGGAGAAGGGGGCCGCTCCCCCGGTCCTCATTTTCAACTTTGAAAATCCCCATTCTGACTATTTTTGAAGCATTTCGTGGACAAGTCTATGGCCAGGTGTGTTGGGAGGCCAAGCACACATTCTCAGGGCAGGGGCTGTCGCACGGACCTGGCCTCTCCTGGTCCACGCAGAGCTGCTTTTTATTTTCCTCCGAGTCCTGAATAGCGTGTGTGGTGGCCGTCCAGGTGTGGTACCAAGCTGTCACCTGGGCTCGTGTTTGGGGAGCAGACTACAGAGACAGAGAGAAACCTTTAAGAGGCAGCGGGTGGGTGACGGGGAAGATCCCCGACGTGACGGGGGACAGACTGACATGGACTTCTTCTCTACCGGACATGAGCTAAGGCTGGATGAGCAGGGCCCCGTGTGAGTGGTCAGGGTGAGGCCCGAGGAAGGACGATTTTCCAGTTGATTGGGGAGCTCGGGAGAGAAGCGACCCCTGGCCACGGCAAGGCAGCTTTAGCCAACAGGACCAGATGCTGGGCCTGTCCTGCTTGTATCCTGCTCTCCCGAGGGAGACCCCGGGCTGAGGGCACACACGTGTCACTCTACACGGGGACTCACACTAGCTGAGCTCCCATGCAGCCTCCCACAGCTCCGGGGTGCATCTCCGGGCGGGGTGGACCCTAACTTACTAGACCCCTGTCCCCTCCCACTGCAGACACTTGCAGCTAGGTCACTGAGCACAGTTAGCTGTCAGTGGGGCAGGGCAGCAGCAGAAGGTGCATCAGGGCCCTGTGTCTGTGTGCGGGGCCGGGGCAGAGGGCGGCCAGGGAAGACGGGAAATGAGGTGACTTAGTATGAGCCGCTCGAGCCCTGCGGCCCATGTGTCCCAGGGCTGAGGCTGCCTGGAGTGCAGAAGAGGAGCTGGGGATTTAGCTCGGCGGTGTAAGCACGGCCTGGGAAGCTCGAGATCGTGGGTTCCATCCTGGTACCACACACACACACACAAGCAGAGGACGGGACAGCTCTCGTCGTGATGTGTGGCCTCAGTGGCCCAGCAGGCCGGACACGGTCACGGACCTCTGCCCTGAGTGGAACCACTTCTTTCAGCAGCACCAAAGGCAGAGATCTACCCCTGTCCCTCGTGCTCTTTAGCCTTCTCCAGTCAGAAATTCCTCAGTGGCCATGTGAGATACAGTCACCCCGCTCAGATCCGCACAGCAACAGCGGCAAGAACGAGCCTCAAACCGGAGGACCCCTGTCCGGGGGACCCGCTACCAGAGCAGCGGCCTTCTGATCCACAAGGCCGGAACGAAGGAGGTGGAGGTGGAGGTGGAGGGGTCCAAGGAGGGCCCGGCCCTGCGCACCAAACGACAAGGCAGGGGGGCACTTGGGAAGCCCCTTCCAGTCCTCCCAAGGGGCAGCTGGGGAGGTCCGGGGACATGCGATGTGCGGCAGGGGGAGCCTCGCAGATTGCAACGGTCAAGAGGGTACAGAAACAGGAAGGCCTCAGTGATGCAGCCAACGGCAGCAGGCAGCAGCGTTCGCAGGCAGGCGAGAAGCCCTGGGCTTGCGGAGTGTGTGGAGGAGGGTTTAGATGCAAGTCACAGCTCATGCGGCACCAGAGAATACACACGGGGGAGAAGCCCTGGGCCTGCAGCGTCTGTGGACGGTCATTTACTCAAAAGCGAAACCTTGTGCAGCACCAGAGAATACACACGGGGGAGAAGCCCTGGGCCTGCAGGGTCTGTGGACGGTCATTTACGCAAAAGGCAAGCCTCGTGCGGCACCAGAGAATACACACGGGGGAGAAGCCCTGGGCCTGCAGGATCTGTGGACGGTCATTTAATCAAAAGCCACATCTCGTGCAGCACCAGAGAATACACACGGGGGAGAAGCCCTGGGCCTGCAGCGTCTGTGGACGGTCATTTACTCAAAAGCGAAACCTTGTGCAGCACCAGAGAATACACACGGGGGAGAAGCCCTGGGCCTGCAGGGTCTGTGGACGGTCATTTACGCAAAAGGCAAGCCTCGTGCAGCACCAGAGAATACACACGGGGGAGAAGCCCTGGGCCTGCAGGATCTGTGGACGGTCATTTAATCGAAAGGCAAGTCTCGTGCGGCACCAGAGAATACACACGGGGGAGTAGCCATATTCTTCTGGAAGAATAACTGAAGCACTATAACACCACCCCTGCGGCTGCAGTGGAACCTCTGTACACCTCTGACTTTTTTGTTTTTGCCTTCCTGTTTTAATAAATATTTTCTCCATGCTAATCCGAAGCCCAAGCCATGGTCTTCATTTCTCCCTAGTCACTGACCACAGAGGAGGCGTCCAGGGGGACCTCAGGAAATTTAGGAAATCCCTTGCTGAGGACCAGAGCCTGGGGTCACTCTGCTTAACTGACAGGAATGTCGGCTCTCAGGCCAAGGAGAAGGATCTGGGCTTTGCGGCAGATAGGCTCATGGAAGGAGCTCCCTCCCCGCAGCTGTCATGCTCTTCCCTTGGTTTCTCCTCGCTCTTCTGATGCTGTCCCCCAACCTCGTAGCCTGAGCAGTGAAAGACCAACAGGAATGTGTGTGTGCATGAGTAAGTGTGTGTGCTTTGTGTGTGCACATTACACGTATGCAAGAGTGCGTGAGGTGCCGTGGCTATGTGTGTGATGTGTGTCGGTGCAGGAGGGTTGTGTGTGCCACAGTGCCTCAGTGCGCTATGGGTATGTGCACCTGCTTTGGGGCTGTGGAGGCTGGCTGAGCTTAGAGGGAGCCATCTCTGCAAGGGCTTCCTCCCGGCCTGGCCCCACCCTGAAATCAGACCCCCTGCCCTTCCCAGCAGGAAAAGGCCACAGGATGCTGGGGTTTCCCTCAGGAAGGAGCTGAGCAGGCATGGGGCACAGAGGGGAGGGAGCCCACGTCCAGGACAGGAGCCTGGCCCATGGTCTTGGATGGGCAGTGAACAGGGCTCTCAGCCTGAAATATTCCCAGGCCATGAAAATGTAGGGGTGACTCAGCCGGGAGCTGGGGTGACTCAGCCGGGACCTGGGGTGTTCGGCATTGAGGCCACTCAGTACGGGCTGGCTCTTCCCCAGTTCTGAGCTCATCCGGGCATGGCCCAGCCCCGGCCAGCAGGCGCAGGGCTCACTGTCCCTCAGGGTCCTCTGTGTGTTCAGCTTCCTCTCTCTGCAACAGTCCCCGCCATGACTAACTCAGAGACAGATTTCCCTGGAACGCTGTCCACTCGGTTTTGAAATCTATGCACAGCCTAACCCTAACCCTAGAGCCCACAGCTCACAGGACAGGGCTCTACTGAGGATGCGACTCTGTGAAACTATAAGGCAGATGCAAGCTTTTGTTTGGACTTGGGGGAGAAAGAATGGTTCTTCATGAATCCATTCCTATTCTTTGAGCTTGCTCTGGGGCCTTCCTGCTGCTGCGTCAAGAAATCATAATGTAGAGCCGGGCACGGTGGCTCATGCCTGTCACCCTACAACTTGGGAGGCTGAGGCAGGAAGATCATTGCGAGTTCGAGGCCAGCCTGGGCTACACAGTGAGCTCAAGGCCAGCCTGGACTGCACAGCAAGACCCTGTCTCAAAAAGACAAAAGAAAAAAAAAAAAAAAAAAAAAGAAATCATAATGATACAGGAACGGACCAGAGTGAAGCCATCCTAGGTCTCAGCCCATGTCTTAGCTGTAGGAAGGGCGTTAGACTCTGTTCTCACAGTCAGTTCTTGCAAAAATAGCCTCATGGGCCAAACCACAAAACCACAAAACCACACCGTTGCTTCACCCTGAGCTGCTGTGAGTTGATTGGTTACACCCCGCTGTCCACCCCTGATGGGACGAATGGACAGTAGCCCCTGCCAGCTAGAGTCCAAGACAATGAGAGAATGTATGCTTGCCCGTTTCTTCCCAAAAATCAACTGTATAACCCTAATTCAGTTGCCCCTCAGGGTGACGTCCCAGTAGTTTGCTGGAGGCCGTCCGCCAGCTAATACAGCTTGCTTTACCTGCTCTGCCTCTGCTTCACTCTCTGCTGTAACATTTGGAGGCCCCAGCGGGATCCTCACAGAAAGCCCTCAGAGGGGATCATTGGCCCTTGTGCATTGGCCACCTGGGTGATGACTGACGCTCAGTGCAAGAGGAGGGGTCAGCTGCCTGAGATGGGGCGACCAAGGCCCCAGCTGACATGCTGAGATTTGGTTTCACTTTGGAGGCTCATCCCTGGACTTGTTTATCCAGACTTTGGATCTGGGCTCTGACCTCTGGGTGCAGTGTTTATCTTGATTATGTAAATAATTAAGCAGTAAAAGGGCTCAAAGTGACCCAGATGTGATGGTCAGGGCCTGGAGATTTAGCTCAGTAGCACAGCACCTGCCTGGCAAGCACCAGGTCATGAGTTCACCAAAAAATAAAAATAAAAAATAAAAATGAAAAAATGTGATAGTTGGAGGTGGATCCCTTGACCCAGGATGTGTTTGCTCTGTCTGTTTTGTGTCATTTTTGGCCCCATGGACTCTTTTTTTTTTTTTTTTTCTGCACTGGCCCCTTGGAGGGCCAGCCCTTTCTGACTGTCTGTAATATTTCTAAGTAACTCAGCTGCCTGTAACACAACTGTACTTACTTGGCACTTATGAGGCCCTGGGTTCCATCCCAATGGCTAGGGAAAAAAAATTAAATCTGTGTCCTTCTTAGACTTTTTTTATTTTCTGGTGCTGGGGGTGGCACACATGTGGGTTCCCAGCACTCAGGTGCTGAGGCAGGCGGATCATGAGTTCAAAGGCAGCCTGGGCACCACAGTGAAACCTCAGGTGGGGGAGGCTGCCGCGTGTCCCATGGGCTGTGTGGCGGAGGCCGATTGCAGAGACAGGAGGAGGAGAGCAGAACTAAGGGCATTCAGGCAAGATGGGCCACAGGGAGTCACCGCTGAACCGTGGGCTGGCACAACAGGGAAACCCCGAGGGCGTCAGGTCAAGCCCAGGTCCTGTTATCTCTTTTCTGTGAGGATGAAGGCACAGGAACCTCCGGATCCTCCGAGAAACGATTTGCTGGGAAATGTGCCTATTTTCTATCCAACCCCATTTCTCAGGCAGCCAGAGAAAGGCTCAGCTCAGCGGAGTGAGCCTCAGTGACTCGATTTTGAATGTTAACCTGGCATGTGTTAACCTAGGGCACACTTTCTGGGTGACCTAGGGAGCCCACAGTTCCCTCCCATCCCCACCCCAGGACACTGCAGAATGGTGGACTGTGAAATCTAAGTGGGCCTGAGCTCCCTGCAGAAGTGACCCGCACGTGGCAGTCCACCCCGCACTGCTGGGATCAAAGCCCCGCAGCTGGCCAGCAGTCACTCATGGTTCCAAAGAGGGAAGTGGGAACCATCTTGCTCCTGCCCTCATCTGTTAGCTTTGGAGGTGGCTTTTGTCCTGGGAGCTGGAAGACAGGAGCTTCTGGACCCTGGCAGGCGGAAGCCAGGGATGTGGCTCCTGACAGGGAACCCCAAGGACCACTGAGCCCGAAGGCCAGCGTTACCCACAAGACTGTACGTTAAGACCATGCTCAGGGTAAAGGCCATGTGGAGAAGGGGAAGGATGCTGACTTCTAGGAGAAAAATACTTTCACAAGAACGTTCTGGTGGGGCACATCTGTATCCCAGCGCTTTGGGAGGCTGAGGCAAGAACACTCCAAGTTTGAGCCCAGCCCTGGACCACTGAGAGATTCACTGAGACTCTGTCTCAATGTCAAAAATTAACAAAAATTGCTGGGGATCTAGGTCAGTGGGGAGACCCTGGGCTCAATTCCTGCACTAAAGAGAGAGAGAGACAGAGACAGAGAGACAGAGACAGAGAGACAGAGACAGAGAGAGAGACAGAGACAGAAAGACAAAGAGAGAGACAGAAAGACAGAGAAAGATAGACGAGAAAGACAGACAGAGACAGAAAGACAGAAACAGAGAGAGACAGACAGAGACAGAGAGAGACAGAGAAAGAGAGAGAGAGACAGAGACAGAGAGAGACAGAGAAAGAGATAGAGAGACAGAGAGATAGAGACAGAGAGAGACAGACAAAGAGATAGACGAGAAAGAGACAGAAAGACAGAGAGACAGAGACAGAGAGAGAGACAGAGACAGAAAGACAAAGAGAGAGAGAGAGTGTTGGGAGCCGCGGCACAGAAAGACAGAGAGAGACAGAGAAAGAGATAGAGAGATAGAGAGACAGAGAGATAGAGACAGAGACAGAGAAAGATAGACGAGAGAGAAAGACAGAGACAGAGACAGAGAGACAGAGAGAGAGACTGAGAGAGAGAGAGAGAGAGAGAGAGACAGAGAGACAGAGAGAGACAGAGAGAGACAGAGAGAGAGAGAGAACCCTGGATATGGTAGTGCACGCCCGTAATCACAGCTACTCAGGAAGCTGAGGCAGGAAGATCTCGGTGCTGCTTAGGTCCAGCCTGAACAACACCACAAGACACTGCCTTTAAATAACTGCATAGTGCACCATCCCGGGCTTCAGTCCCGTCATGGAAAGGAAAGCAGAGAGGGAGAGAGAAACAGAAACGGCCCCATGGACCCTTGATTTCAGGGATCACTCTCTGCTCCGTTGGCACCTTCACGATCATGAGCGCTGCTACCCACCCTCCCTGGACGAGTTCATCATAAACATGCCAGGAGACCCTGATACCGATCGATTGGAAAAGACTGTCACCAGCATCACAGGCGTCTCCAATTCACTGCGTCTGGGACTTTTGCTTGGACTCCTTACAGAGTGGTTGGGAATGATTGAGGTGGGAGATATCTGATCTAAACTCTGCTATGGGCTGCTAATATGGGGACCACCACCTCAAAGCCCACCGTGTTAGACTATGAGGTTAAAAACTGTGACAGGGAAGCAGCGTGGACCAGGACAAACAGCCAGACCCACCCCTGAGCACGTCCCACCATTGGGGGAGTCTCGATGAAGCCGCGCAGGCTGGGGGAAGAAGCAGCCCTGTCCTTACACACCTGCGACCATTGGGGAAGCCTCAGGGTAGCTGCATGGTCTGGAGGAGACACACACCCCACTGCATCACCAGGAACCCAAAGACAAAGGAAAGAAAAACAGACTGGGGGCTGGGGATCTAGCTCAGCGGCATGAGCACCTACCTTGCAAGCAGGCAGTCGTGAGTTTGATCCCCGGTACCGATAAAAAGGAAAGAAGACCAAAAAAAAAGAAAAACAGACTGACAGGGGTCAGGGAAAAAGCAGGCGTCAACACAGACAACACAGAAAGACGATT